AGAAAGGATCTGTGAAGATTAAGGAAGGGAAGTTTTACGTTAAACGGATCCAACGAGAGGCTCGAACGAAGGTGGAAGTTGAGGACCGGACGGCTCAACCAGAACTTTTTATTTTGCGTAAGTGTTTTGGTTTACTGGTTGCAACAATGTTTCAATTAGCGTTTATTGGATAAGAATTGGGTATAAATGTAATAGCTAGCTAGATTAAGATTGGGTAAAAGCTTTTAAGTCCTTTCTCCCACAAGCTCGCCCTAGCCCACAAACACCACCATCTCCGTTTCCCACTCTGGTGGCTGGAGCTTTCCGACGCTATCGTGGGAGGGATCTCCTTCTCTCTTGCTTTTGTTTTTCTGTTTTGATTTTCACCGTTTTTTTAAACCAAAAGATTCGACAATGAATTTGTAGTAGATAAGAGATCGGAGAGTTTCGTGTATTAGAAGATACGTTCGAAAATAGAAGTTACCGAGTATATCGCTAAGTGATAGCCCTGACAGGTCCCGGTCTGTCAGTTACGATCCAGAGAATGAATAGTAGACCGGACAGACCCCGGGCTACTAAATCGTCGCGACTTAATAGAAAGATAAACATTTTGGTGTATTTTCCGGTCGGTGGTGAACTCCCGGTGAGCTCTTCTTCGGAGTTAGAGTCCTGAACGGAAAAGTTATGGTCCTTTGCACTCTTTTGAAGGAATAGAAGATGAATAGTCACATCACTTTGTACCTCTATTTAGAGTACAAGATTGGGGTACATCCTAGATTTTATTAACTGTAATTACCGAATCTGACCCAGGTTTAACCAGACCATGGTTACTGTTTAAGTTAGACTTCCATTGCTTATGGGCCGCAGATCGTTTGGGCCGCAGAATCAATTGGCCGCAGATCCAGGCCCAACAGTAGCCCTCAATCAACGAACTGAGATGGGACGAGTTTCGCTGTTTACGTGTTCCAGGCCCGAACAAATGAAACCCATTTCAAAGTCGGCTCCTAACTGGCCCATCTTGCCGCCTTAGCGCTTCACTCGAGGTGCGACGGTTCGTCTTCCGGTCTTAGTCTATAAAAAGGAGAGGGTCTCGCCTCTTTTCTCCTCACTTCGCTTCTCTCTCTAAAGGTATTTTTCTTCTCCTTCTCTCTCTAGTTTTCGTTAGATAGTTTTTCTGCTGTCCCATCACCGTTGAGTCCGCCATCTCGGCTTGAATTTCCCGATCAGTCTTCAAAGAATTCTCCGTCCCGATCTGAGTTTCCCGGTTGTCTTTCCGAAGATCTATCGATTTGTTTGATTGATGTCCTCTCCAATTCAGATCGATTCTCCCGATGAAGATTCTTAACCAAAATTCAATCAGCTCGTTTTCTGCATCCCCTTCTGGCGGTCTATCCTTAATGGAGGCTCAGACCATGGCTCATATTCATAAAGCCCGCATCTCAAGAGAGGATGAGGCGGAGTCTAGCTCGGTCGAGGATCCGAGGTCTGATCAAAACCCCGTTGAGACCGGGACTTCCAAGGCCGCTGGGTCTTCCAAACTCGGCGCATCTTTCCCCCGGGGGCTCGGCGTAGCCGTGCGCGACCTTATCGCGGCTCTGTTTGGACCGCTGGCGAAGAGAATCCTGATTCTTTTGGTTGTCGATTTCGACTCCGAACAGACGGAATCTTCCGGGGCCAGGCCTAGGTCGTCACATAAAGTTTGTTCGTTTTAACGACCAAAATACGACATCCTCCAATACGACGTTGGAGGCGATATGGTCTACTCGATGTCTTCCGAACAATGTTGTGTTTGTACGAGTCGTTCTTCACGGCGAGCGGGCTGTGGTTTCCGCTTCCTCGGATATTGATCGAATATTGTGCCCAACGGGTATGGCTGTTTCCCAGCTTACTTTGGGCCTCGATCCAGAATTTTGCGGGCTGCTTGACTCAAGCCGCCGAACACGAGATGGAGTGCGATTGCGATACTTTCGAGGCGATGACCCAATTAAAGTGGCTGAAACCCTCAGGTCGTTTTATGTATCAGCGCGCCCTGGGTATTCGTGGTTGAATCCGGACTCCATAAGCGATAGATGCGATAACTAGGAGCTCAGCTATTTCTTCGTGAAAATCAACGTGGCCTCCGTCGAGAACCCGAGATGGCCGATTCGTCCTTGGAATATCATAATAAGTATGCTTAACATCTCAATGTGTTTCAAGTTTACCAGTTTAGGCTGACACCTAATCTTTCTCTTTGTTCACAGATTATCCGGTTCTCTCGAACATGACCGCTCCGAAGTCTGGCGAGAAGACGCTAATTCCTCTTCTGAAGAAGCTGAAGCCTCAACTCTGGCTGAAATTCCTCGAGCAAAGGATCCAAAGGTGTCAAGAACGGATTACGACAGGTTGGTTTTCCATCGACCTTTTTACAGTTTGGGTTCAATCGGGCTTCTTGATGAAGACCCTTTTTTTTCGTTTTTATACAGGCTGCTATACTCTTGAGCTCGCTCCTTTAAGACCATATACTTTCCCGCCGATCAAACCGAAGAAACTCCGTCAGAAGGAGGGAAAAATGGTAAAGCCAAGTTTAAGAGGGTCAACTATACTGACGTTGCTCAGGAAAGTCCTGCCCCGGGCAAAGGGGCTGATGAAGCCGCAGCTGCCAAACAGACTGGGCCTTCTGCTACCCCTAAAAGGGGGTCTAAACGCGGCTCGACGCAGACTGAGAAGGTCACAAAGGCTTCCTTGGCTGCGAAGAAGGCTGGGAAGCGCGTTGTGGAGCCCACTGCTGAAACCGCGAAGAAGGTTTCTAAGAAAGAAGTTGGGAAGAAGAGGCCTACCGAGGTTACTGCTAAAGGGGCGAAGAAGAAGCAGCGTATCATGGAATTGACGCAGAAGACCGCGTCTGTGGAGGTCGCTGCTACGGGTTCTGAGGAGAATCCAATGACCTATGATCTTTCGTTTAACTTTAAGGCGAAATATCACATTGCGACTATCCCTCAGGTATGCGCCGAACTATGTTTCATGATCCCTTGCAGCACAGAGTATGACTTTCCAGAGCCAGATGACTTGATCGAAAAGGAAGCGTACCAGTTGTTCTCAGGGAGCGTAATAGAGGTATTCCCTTTTTGCTTGTTGTTCTGTCTTTTTTGATCCTTGCCTTTACTTTGCCTCTGCTTACTGTTCTTCTTTTGACAGATAATCACGCATGGGAACCTGATTATCAAAAAATACGATCGTCGGTCTTGGCGGCTTCTAAAGAAGCTCGAAGGTTATCCAAACGCGAAGAATGAGGCTGCGAAGGTTCCCGGTCTTGAGAAGAAGATCGCTACTCAGATCTCCGCGTTGAACGACCTCTCTCTGAAGGCTGAAGAAGCAAGACAGAGGGCAAAATATACCGAAGAGGAGCTCGAGAAGATGAGGGCGGAGAAAGAGTCTCTGCAATCTTTCCATGAGCTGGAGATGACTCGCCTTCAGGCTTCCCGAGAGTATGAGGTTAATCAGATCATCGCGAAGTGCGATGCTAAGCTTCAGAAGATCAAGGAGTCGATCTCGGACAACGAGGAGATGAGTAGGCTTAGTGCCTTGATGAGCCAAGCGATGGCCATCAATGACTACTTTACCGGTCTCAAGAAGGAGGGAACCGCTGTCTCGGATGACCGGTTTAAGGCGCTCGATGCGAACTTTAAAAACGTTGAGTTGGAGTTCAAAGTTTTGGACGTTGAGGAAGTCACCGAAGACGACTTCAGGATGACTCCTCCTCATTGATTGTCTTCAACTCTTCCCCAAGGTGAGGTCGTGGCCATCTTTGCAAATCCTCCTCAAGTTGAGACCGCGGCTGCTCCTCAAGTCGAGACCAAGGTCGTGGTTCCCTTTGATCAGTATGGGACTCTAATGAGTGCGGAAGAACAGATGAGGAATCGGCTCCTGCTTGAGGAAGATCAGGCACTGGAAGTTTAGGAAGCGAAGGACGCGGCCACTGGTGAAGAGCTCACTCCCCTCGTTGGACTTCCCGTCATCCCAACTGCTCAGTCTTAATTTTCTTCAAGGCTTTTGTAAAATAATAATAATATTATATATATTTTTCCAAGTTTGTCTTCTCAAAATCCTAAGTATTTCCAACACATTCCGCGCACTGATTTTTCCAGACCGGATAAGCCCCGAGCTCATATTTCGCNTCAGTGCTTTG